ATATATATATTATAAACTGCAAATGATGGCACTGGTTTTAGGATGGCATACCTCAACTTGCTGAATTTTGGTTTGATTTATGTGGTGCTGGCCCTTGCATGGATCACCTCTGTCAACCTTTGGGCCACCAAAGAGCTGTCATTCTTTGTGGTAACTGGGCTGAGTGAATGTTTTATGTGGGACAGAAGTGGGACAGATAAATTTTGTCATGTGGGACGTCTAAAGTGGTAATTCTGAATGATGTGTTGTATACTAGCACACCTGTTTTTCTAATGCTGAGAGTTTTTTGGTTATGATCCAATGTTATGTGGTTCCAAGTGGAAATGGTGGTCCAGTGAGAGTTTCATTCTTTGCACGCTCATTCTCTGCAAATTACATGTAAAAGCAGACCCTTCGCCAAGTGAAACTGCCCTGGTCTTCTCTGTGCTCTCATTTTTTTTTGTCAAACCATCAGCTGTGCCTGAAACCACTCATGGCACAAAGAGGAAATAAAAGTTTGGATTCGCTGAATTGCGCATGGACCGTACTGTTGTTTTGTTTGCTTGAAAAGAAAAAAACTGACCCCTAACTCACAGTTTGTTTCGCACTTTGATTTTTCTAGTTAAGTGACTAACTGCCAATGTTATTTCCATTATTCAGCACCCTGCAGGACTGTGTCAGCTACAATGTATCTGGGTTAAGTTGTCCATCCAGTGCATGAAGAAGTAGATTAACAGCAATATACTCAAACTGATAAGTGAAAACTGCTCAGTCATGAACTGGTTTGTTTATTGCTGCAAATAAAGCAAACAAGCTGTTTGTGTTGGCTCTAATGATATTTATCCCGTGTTTTTGTCTCCACAGTTTCATCCTGGTGTTTGGATGTCTGGTTCTGTCTGTGTTTTCTACCATTCCTAATTACCAGGATGTCTCCTCGTACTGCCTGCTCATCCTGGTAGGTTCACAAACACACATGCATGCCAACATTCCCTGATAAATATTACAAGTCTCATCAACATGTCAGAAAGAACACCGTTGTTGCTCTCAAAATGAAACACAGCTCTCCCCAGTTTATCATGCTGTATTTAACATTAATATAAAGTATAGAGATTTTGAGAGTTTAGACTTTCTTTCTGAGTTCAAACAGTAATACTGTACTGTATGTTCAGGTTTGTATTTTGAGTCAGGCGTGTTGTTAAAAGTAATGACGGTAAAATGTGAGGTTACTCACGAGGACAAGTCATCCGAGTGTTTGTGTGTAGGTTTATGATTCTCTAGTCTGTCTTGGCAGTTGTAATGAAATTGGGAAACAACAGTTAGACTCATAAACTTTATTACAGTAGCTGTTCCAGATGCCAGTCCAGAACACAATGTTGTCTTGTGTCTCCTGTATCTTCCTCTCCTGTCCCGACTAACACAGTCTCTTCTGCCCTGTGCTGTCAGAGCAGCTCCCTCTAGCAACAAGTAATAACTTAACAGAACAGAACATAAGTGCTAGCCACTGTGTAAATCCAAGAACACAACACTCCTGTTATCCAAATAAAGAACCTCATTCACTTTAAGCAAAAGGAGCATTTTCTTAGAAAGATTATTTAGTTTTAACAAAACGTTATCAAAATTACAGCTGAAATGAGTTCATAATCACAAGACCTTTGTTCACATTTTTTCACAACCATCTTTCAAAAAAGAACTTATCTCATCATAGACTTTTGTTCCGGTTGGCGCGTGTCTTTCCCTCTGCATAGCAGTTCATTTCAGCGTGCGTTTTGGACTAAGGGTTTCCTCTGCCGGAGCCGCTCTTGGTGTTTCGTTTGAGCAAAGCGAAAATTGTGCTGCGCTCCATTTTTTCCCGTCAATGAAAACAAACGACGGTCCAGTTTGCTGCTGTGCTGACAACGGATTGTTGTACTTGGTCTCTCATTTTCCCACATGAGAAGGCTTCCTCGCTCTTCCCACAGCTCCAACAGTGGCTTTGATGGGTTTTGTTTCTATCTTTTTGCTTGTGTAAAATGTATTTTGGCTTTGTGTAGAACCGCTTTACCTCCAACATTGATCTTAGGAGGAGGCAGGATGCCCTCCTCATTTGTCTTCTTCTGAGAAACTGGAAAGGGGATACATTTGTGGAAAGTGGTGAAACTCTGGAGCTGTTGAAGCATTTCCTTAGGCTTCCAGGGTCGTTGTGTAGCTTGTGCTGCCTGGAATGTGTCTTTTATCACTTTCTTAAAGAGCTGCACACCTCCTTTTGCTTGAGGATTGTATTAGGGTTGCAATTACTGCAATTAGTGCCGTGTGATGACGATTTATTTTTTATCAGGTGCACGCGTGAGCCCAATGGCGGAAGGCGTCACAGAGTAGCTAACGTTAACCCTAACTAACACAGCAAACTCTCCTCCAGCAAAGGGGTGCGCCGTGGCTGTTAAAATTAAGAAGTTAGTTTGATAATTTGTAAGTACAATTTAGAAAAGGGTAACTGTTTTAGAGTTAAAAACATGCAAGTGCAATTCTCACCAATTACAATACAATAGAAACAGGCTTTATTGTCCCGCGGAGGGGAAATTCAGGTGTAACAGCGGCAGCATCAGTTCACA